ACAGGCAGGCTGTCAGCCCAGGAGTCGTCGACCAACGAGGCGAGGTCTTCGTCGTCGGCGCCGTCGACCGCCATCGCCGTGGGCAGCAGGGCGAGCCCCAGGCCCGCACCAGTACTGCCAGCACCAGCCGTCGTCACGTCGCCGTCGGTGTTTACCTGCTGCTTGCGAGCCGCGCGCGCCGCGCGGCGGCGCCGACGCCGCGCCCGCTTCGCCTCCGCGGAGGCACCAGCTGGGCGAGCGGCATCGCCAACGGCATCAGCAGCATGATCGTCACGTCGGCCGTCTGCAGCGTGCGCTTGCGTCGTCGGCCGCGCCGCGAACGCGGTGGCCGAGACTGCAGAGCGCGCCACTGCGGCGACCGTGCGGCGCGGCGCGCCGCCGTCCACAGCGCCGCGGACCGCCGCGCGCACCAGCAGCGCGAGGTCGTCGGCGGCCGTGCCAGCCCCTCTAGCCGCGCGCAGGCCAGCCATCCCGAGGCGGGAGGCCGAGGCGGCGCGGCATGCGAACGCTTGAGCCAAAATGGCTACGGAGGGACTGGAGCCGCAGGAGAAGGGGAATCTATAGGAACACGCGTAAAACGCCAAGGACTCGTGTGGCCTCCTATGGCCTCCTAGAGCACCCTGGAGCCTCCTGAAGCCTCCTGGAGCTTCCTGGGGCCTCCTGGCACATCTTGAACTCGTGGGGCCTTCTGTGGCTTCCTGATGCCTCCTGGGACCTCCTGTTGCCTCCTGGGGCCTCCTGGAGCCTGCTGGAGCCTCCTGTGGCATCCTCGAGGGGATCCGGCCACCAAAACAAGCAAACCGCTCGACACATCCTCAGAATCTGGCTCCTCTTGGGAGCGAAAGCGAACGCCTCGCTCGAGACGTCCTCCAAATATGCTCCAAAGCGATGGGTGGTGAGCCAGGACACAAGCGAACCGCTGAGGACATCACCGCCATTTTGACGCGAACGGGGGAATGCAATACTCCTTGGCGGCTCCCCCTTGGGGGTGCTGAAATCCGCGCCTCGCTCGAGACATCCTCGAGTCTGGCCACCAAAACAAGCAAACCGCTCGAGACATCCTCAAAATCTGGCCCCACAGGGGGGCGAAAATGAACGCCTCGCTCGAGACGTCCTCCAAATCTGCTCCGAAAGCGATGGATGGTGAGCCAGGAAACAAGCAAACCTCTGAGGACATCACCGCCATGTTGGGGAGGAATGCAATACTCCTTGGCGGCTCCCCCTTGGGGGTGCTGAAACCTGCGCCTCGCTCGAGACATCCTGAAATTCTGGTTCCTCCTGGGGGCGGAAATGAACGCATCGCTCGAGACATCCTCCAACTCTGCTCCGAAAGCGGGGGATGTTGGTGAAGGAAACAAGCAAACCGCTCGAGACATCCTCGCGATTTTGGCGCGAACGGAATGCAATACTCCTTGGCGGCTCCCCCTTGGGGGTGCTGAAACCGGCGCCTCGCTCGAGACATCCTCGAGCCTGGCCACCAAAACAAGCAAACCGATCGAGACATCCTCAAAATCTGGCCCCACCTGGGGGCGAAAGCGAACGCCTCGCTCGAGACGTCCTCCAAATCTGCTCCGAAAGCTATGGGTGGTGAGCCAGGAAACAAGTAAACCGCTGAGGACATCACCGCGATTTGGACGCGAACGGGGGAATGCAATACTCCTTGGCGGCTCCCCCTTGGGGGTGCTGAAATCCGCGCCTCGCTCGAGACATCCTCGAATCTGGCCACCAAAACAAGCAAACCGATCGAGACATCCTCAAAATCTGGCCCCACCTGGGGGCGAAAGCGAACGCCTCGCTCGAGACGTCCTCCAAATCTGCTCCGAAAGCTATGGGTGGTGAGCCAGGAAACAAGCAAACCGCTGAGGCCATCACCGCGATTTGGACGCGAACGGGGGGATGCAATACTCCTTGGCGGCTCCCCCTTGGGGGTGCTGAAATCCGCGCCTCGCTCGAGACATCCTCGAGTCTGGCCACCAAAACAAGCAAACCGCTCGAGACATCCTCAACATCTGGCCCCACAGGGGGGCGAAAACGGGCGCCTCGCTCGAGACGTCCTCCAAATCTGTTCCGAAATCGGAGAATGTTGGGCCAGGCAGTAGGCAAACAGCTTGAGACGTACCGCCATTTTGGTGCTAACGGAGGAATGCAATACCCACTGGCGGCTCCCCCCTGGGGGTGCTGAAATCCGCGCCTCGCTCGAGACATCCTCGAGTCTGGCCACCAAAACAAGCAAACCGCTCGAGACATCCTCAACATCTGGCCCCACCTGGGGGCGAAAACGGGCGCCTCGCTCGAGACGTCCTCCAAATCTGTTCCGAACTCGGAGAATGTTGGGCCAGGCAGTAGGCAAACAGCTCGAGACGTACCCACCATTTTGGTGCGAACGGAGGAATGCAATACCCACTGGCGGCTCCCCCTTGGGGGTGCTGAAATCCGCGCCTCGCTTGAGACATCCTCGAGCCTGGCCACCAAAACAAGCAAACCGCTCGAGACATCCTCAAACTCTGGCCCTACCTGGGGGCGAAAATGGGCGCGTCGCTCCAGACGTCCTCTAAACCTGTTCCGAAATCGGAAAATGTTGGGCCAGGCAGTAGGCAAACAGCTCGAGACGTACCCGCCATTTTGGTGCGAACGGAGGAATGCAATACCCACTGGCGGCTCCCCCTTGGGGGTGCTGAAACCCGCGCCTCGCTCGAGACATCTCCCGAAATTGCTCCGCCATCATCATCATCATCATCATCATCATCATCATCATCATCATCATCATCATCATCATCATCATCATCATGATCATGATCATGATCATCATCATCACCACCACCATCATCATCATCATCATCACCATCATGATCACCATCAGCATCATCATCATCAGCATCAGCATCATCGCCATCGTCATCGGCATCGTCATCATCATCATCATCGTCATCATCATCATCATCATCATCATCATCATCATCATCATCACCATCATTCAGCAACATCATCATCAGCAGTCTGGGTATGAGCAAATCTGAGTATGATGGAATCTAGATCGGAGGAGATGGGGAAAGGCGATGAGCAGGAAAAGGAGTAGGAAGCGTCTATGTAATTATTCACTGCGTGGAGCTCCCCGTATGTGCGTCTACTAGCATGGACCTGTGCGCCCTGAGTGCCTAGGCGCAGACATTATCGACTATAAGCGGGTTTGAGTCGTGACGGTCTCAGAGTGAATATAGCTGTGGATGAATTGGGGTGTGAATGAATTTCAGTAGTACGAGCGCGTCTCTGCGCATGAGCCTGAGGCGTCCTGGGGCCTCCTGGGGCTTCCTGGGGCCTCCTGGAGCCCCTTATGGCCTCCTGGGGCCTTTTGGGGCTTCCTCTGGCCTCCTGAGGCCTCCTGGGGCCTCCAGGAGGCCTCCTGGGGCCTCCTGGCGCCTCCTGGGGTCTCCTGAAAGGGATTCGTGCTCCAGGGGGAGCCCAATCTATAAGAACAGACGTACATACACCAATGCGGAATGGAACCGCAAGAGAAATACACTGTGTAGGAACAACAATAAACCACCAGCGACTCGTGCACATATGTGAGACACACACTATCCATATATATATATATATATATATATATACACATGTATGTATATACACACGAAAAGCACTTAGGCTTTGATACGCGTGACAATGACTCTATCTATATCTATGTACAGATAAGTGTAACGTTATACGTAACACACCAACTGTTCGTGCTCCAGGTGAGGCCCAATCTGTAGGAGCATACGTACACACATGGGATTGGAGCCACTCCTGTGGCCTTCTGATGCCTCCTGCTCCTGGGGCCTCCTGGCCCCTCTTGAGGCCTTCTGGGGCCTCCTGGGGCCTCCTGAAGCATCCTGATACCTCATGGTACCTCCTGTGGCCTCCTGGAGCCTTCTGGAGCCTCCTGTGGCATCCTGAAGAGGATCCGTGCCCACGAGGCTGACCAGCAAACTAAGTAAACCGCTCGAGACATCCTCACAATCTGGGGGGCGGAAATGAGCGCCTCGCTCGAGACATCCTCCAACTCAGTCTCCGACAGCGGAGGATGTTGAGCACAGAAATAGGCAAACCGCTTGAGACATCCCCGCCGTATTGGCGCGAACGGTGGAGTGAGATACCCCCTGGCGGCTCCCCCTTGGGGGTGCTGAAACCTGCGCCTCGCATGAGACATCCTCAGAAATTGTGCCGCCATCATCATCATCATCATCATCATCATCATCATCATCATCACCATCATCACCACCATCATCATAATCAACACCAACATCATCATCGTCATCACCACCATCATCATCATCAGCATCATCATCATAATCAACATCATCGCATCATAACACACCATGACATAACATGACTTGACGTAACATTGCATAGCATGCCATCACATACCATAGCATAACATTCCATAGCATAGCACATCATGACATACGATACCTACCATACCATACCAGAACATATCATGCCATAGCGAACCATTGCATACCATGCCATACCGTACCATAATAGGACATACCATAACATATCACAACATATCATCGCATCGCATATCGTAACATAACATGAGGAGGAAGAGTAGAAGTAAGCTCGGAGCTGTCGGAGTAATAACACGAAACCCATCATGTGGATATGGGGAACAACAAGAACCCCATCTTAGGACATGGGGAACAATCAAGACGGAGGCTTTCAATATTTTTAGGCCTCGAAGGGCTCTCGCTGGGCCCCGGAACCGTGAAGAAACGATTCAGGATGGGAGACCGGTCCCAGGGAATGGGTCGAGACTTCCGGGGACCCCGCATTGAAAAAATCACGACATCGGATCTCTAGGTTTCTGACAACGCAGAGATCGTTCAACCTTGAACGATCGACAATTTCTGAAACGTCGGATCCTTCAACATCGACCGATTCAGGGTCGCGGGCGACGTTCAACAATGAACGCTGGCGGCGGGGTCGCCGCCAGTCGACACGACGCGGACCTTCCGTAGTGCAGATTGTGTTTGGCTCCAGCTTGCAATTCCGAATGTCCCCGAGGAGAAATAGTGCCTGCTGCCACTGCGTGCCCTTTGCGCACGCGTGTATGGCGGCACCGTAAAGAATCGTATCGGTGCGCGTGCGCGATCGCAGCACGTCTCGGAACACGTCCAGCGCGGCTGTCCACTTCTTACTAGTTCCATGGCTCTTGATAGCAGCTGTGGAAGAACTCACGTCGTGTCGGAACGCATGACTTGTCAAACTCCGATGGACTTGCACCATGTGCAGCTGATCTCGAGCGAAAGCCAAGTACGTAGGCGTTTCTAGTGTCATGCGTCGGCGGTGACAATTGTAGCCACTCCGGAAGAGGCTTGAAAGTCTTGACTCACTCTCAGAAACACGGGCGAGATATACATTGCATGCGTAGAGAAGGGCAGGGGCACTCATGCAGAAACGGGGGCCCCTGGAAGAGTTGCAATGATGTGATACCTGGGGGACTCCAGAGCCCCTGCGTCGCGATGTGCTCACGAAGGCAAGGGCTCAGGAAACCGATTCAACAAACTTCGCCTGGGGCGGCTTCGCTTTCTTGCGCTTGGCATATACGCTCGCACCGTTTCCGCCTCCTTCGCCCGACGTCTCTCACCGAATGCATCACGACTGCTTGTCCGGCATCTGGTGGCGGCCCCAGGCTGCCCGCGCCCAAGGCACACCAGACCCTCAGCGCAGTGGCCACGGGTCACCTGCACGAGGTGTCGGCCTTGCAGACCCAGTCCTTTAGCGACTCGTCCCACTCCAGGTTCGGCAGTGTCCGCCAGCGGCTATGGATTGCACACCGCTTTTTTCCTGGTGGAGTCGGTGAAGGGGGTGCGCACCTGGCCTCTTCCACGACGGCGTTCTTGCAACGGTCCCCGGCTTTGCACACCCAGCCGTTGCCGCGCCTCTCCAGCCGCTCTGGGAACCGGGGCTTGTTGTGCAGGTCGCACAATCGCATGCCTGGCGGCACGCTCGGGCCCCCCTTGGTGCTGCCCTTGGGCCCGCCCTTGGCGCCGCCCTTACCCTTCGCCCCGCCGCCACGCCGGCGGCCGCCACCGCCCCTCCGGCCAGGCGGGCCACGGCGAGGGCTCATCTCCCGCTCACCGCCTGGAGACCAGTCCTCTTGGCCAAGGTCGCCGTCCGGCTCACGGCGCGAGCAGCTCTGGTCGCGGCTATCAGCGCCGATCTCACTGCCACTCCTCCTCCCCCTGCTGCTCATCCAGCTGCGGCTGCGGTCGCGGGCGACATGTGGCGAATAGAGCAGGGCGCGTGGCGCGTCCTGCAGGATCGGGAGGTCTGGACTCGGCGGGGGCCCCGGGTTCAACCCCGCGGCCTTCAGTCTCGGCTTGGCCCCGCGCATCCTTCTCCTGCCGCCGCCATCTGCGCGGCCTGCGCGGCCGAGCGCCTCGGCACCCACCTGGCAGGCGTCCTCGCCCGTGCAGACCCAGTCCCCGTTCGCCTTCCGGGCCATGCAGTCGGGCAGCCGCCACTTCCCGTGCAGCGCGCACAGCAGCAGCCCAGGCTCTGGGGGTGCGCCAGCGCCCTCTCCCCCGCCCTCCGCCCGCGGCGTCGGCCCCCGGCGGGCCTCGAGGCTCACCCCCCGGCGGGCCTCGAGGCTCACCGGCCCTCGCCCCGAGATGCCGCCCTCTGGGGACGGCGATGCCCAGCGCCGCCCCTCGTCCTGCGGCTCCGCGCGGGGCCGTGGCGGCGGCCGACGGCGGCGCCCCCGCCGCGGTGGGGCCCGCAATGGCTCGCGGCCGGCGCCGATGGGCCGCCGCGCCGCCCCGCCCTGGGGCTCTCGGCCGCGGGGGGGGCTGCCCAGCAGCGAGCCGCCGCTGTGCGAGCGCGAGCGCCGCCCTCGCGGCCCCTGGCGCGACTGCGCTGGTGAAGGCGACCGCGCGGGCATCGGCATCCCTGCCTTCGGCTTCACGCCCGCGAAGCGACCTTCACTCACCATCACTGGGCCTGGGCCGCCCGCACGGGCGCCAGCGTCCACAGCGCATGGGGAGGACGCGTTGCAGCAGTAGCCCGAGCCAGGAATCATGTACAGGTCCTCGCGCTGACGGCGGCACTTGTGCAGCGCGCAGATGAGCTCCTCGCCGTGCACCTCGAGCTGCTCCTCCTTGAGCTGCGCCGCGCCCGCCACCTCGCCTGTCGCCAGGGCCCCAGGCAGAGCGAGGGAAAGGCTCCCCCCCGCCTTGGCAGCCGCTGGCAGGCCGTCTGGCGTGCCGGAGGCCACGCCTCCGCCTGCGTCGGTGGCGCCCTCCTCTGCAGCGGGCCCGCCCCAGCCCGAGTGGCACGCCACGCCGCGGGGTGTGCTCGGGGCACGGTGGTTCGGGCTGCGGCCGCGCGGGCCCGCGGCAGCCGGGCTCGGGCTGCGGTCAGGCGGGCCGGCAGCAGCGGGGCTCGGGCTGCGGTCCAAGCCAGGGCTGAGGCCACGCGGGGAGCCGCCGCCTGTGCGGGTCGGGCTGTGACCTGCCGCGGCCGCGAAGAGGGGGTCGGGGCTCGCGCCGCGGCTCCCGAAGGCGCCGCTGCGGTTGCCGGCCACGGCCGCGAACAGCGGGTCGGGGCTGGCGCCGCGGCCCCCGAAAGCGCCGCTGCGGCTGCGGCTGCGGCTCCTGCTGCGGCCGTGCGGGCTGCCGGCGGCGCCCTCGCCGTCAAGTGCGGAAAGGCTGGGGTCCACCACGCCCGCCAGGGTGACGAGGTCGCCCAGGTCGAGCCCGCCTCCGGGCGGCGGCGGCGGTGGTGCCCCCGTCCCGCCCTCAAGCGCAAGCGGGGGGGGCCCGCCGACGGCCCCGGCGCCCGAGCAGGCGCCCACGAGCGCCCCGGCCCCGGGGAAGACCTCGGCACCCAGGACGGCCCCAACGCTCAGGGCCGGCAGCGCCGCCGCCGCCGCGGCGCGCCGCCGGCGCTCGCGGCTGCGCTCGGAGGACGAACCCGAGCCCGGGCGATCGCGGCCCCGGCTCCGCGACCGCGAGTACGACGAGGACCGCGCGCCGCGCCGCCGGCGCCGGCGCCGCCGTCGACGGGGCGTGGAGCTCCGCCGCGGCGAGGAGCGCGAGCGCGGCGACCGCCCGCCGCGCGCGGGGGGCTGTGCGCCGGGCCTGCCGGTGCGCGGCGCCGCGCCGGGCTTGCGGGCACCAGGCTGCAGGCAAGGGCTCGTCGAGCGGCACCGCCACTGCCCGGGCCCCGCCGGCACTAGGTTCCGCCGCGTTCGCTTCCTGCTGTGAAGGATGCACAGCAGTTGGGCGTCTGGGGGCGGGCTCGCGGCCATCCGGAGGCTGGGTCGGTGGCCGCCAGGAGGTCTTGAGCACAAAGCGCGGGCCTGGTCGGTCCAAGGAGAGAGAGAGGCAGTCCTCACGGCCAACTTCCTGTTCAACTCGTGTTCCCGACCCTCTCAGACGCCATGCTGGTAAGCTTTTTGGAGCAGCGCCCAGTCGTAGCGACGGGGGGGATGACCGTGCTCAGGTCAGGTACTGAAGCCAAGGGGGGAGAGCAATCAACAGGACGCCGCAGATCGAAGCAGCATGCACAACATCCCACCTGCCCTCTGGCCGTAGGTGGTCCAGATCGCTTCCTCTTCCAACGACCTGCGTCCTCTTTGGGGAAGGGGGGTACCCGAGGTTGGGGGTGAGGTGAGATCGCAATGGGACGGAGAACCCCCCACCGGGAAATCGGTTTCGGATTCGTGCTCGTGTCGCACGTGCGGGCGAGGCGAAGCTGCGTGGGCGCGCGAGGGAATGACCCTGTCGTCGCTAGGGCGATTCGGATGCAGTGGACCGCCTCTCCGCCTCCGGTGGGCGCGCGGTGGCCCGGGGTGTCCCGCCGTGTTGCCCTGTGGTGTCCCGTTGGTGTCCCGTCGGTGTCCCGTCGTGTTGCGTCGGCGGTGGGCGGGCGGTGGCTGGGGGTGTCCCGCCTTGGTATCGATAGTGGAATCGATCGTGATATTGATGCTGAGATCGCTCGAGTGGGATGGAGAGTGAGCTCAAAAGTGAGATCGACAGTGAGGTTGAGTGTGACTTTGGTTGTGCTCGCGCTGTCGGATGCGCGGGGAGGCGACGTCCCCTGGGTCGTGCAGACCTCGCGGGGAAAGGCTATCTCCACTGGGGCGGGCACAATTGGATCGATCGCTGAATCCATTAGTACTGAGATTGGCCGTGAGGTCGATAGTGGGATCGATCGATCGAGATCGAAAGCGGGGCCAACATCGCAGCGCGACATCGTCATCACGCGTCGTCGCTGAATCGAGGGCGCGTCACCAGCATCGTCATCATCACACCTGTCGCATTTTCCAGCAGTTGGTTCTTTCCCTCCCAGCCCCCAACCTCCTGATGCCCCCAAAGGGTGGTCGTGTAAGTATACTCCTCCTGCCAGCCCCACGCTGGAAGACTCTCCCCGCCCGCCCGGTGAAACCTCCTGGGGGACTCTCGGGTCCATTCGGGGATTTCGACAGAGGCAACCAAGCTGACACGGTGGCCGCCCCTGGTCAACCGCAGAAGAGGAAACACGAGGCACACATGAAAATCCTTATTGGATGGGGATTCGGATGGGAGGGTCTGGGGGACCTCGTACGACTCCTTCGAAGCTCTCTTGGGGTGCTCTTTGGCCCCTGTTGGATCTTACTTCGGGCTCCTTTGGGCCTCTGTGGATTCCAATCGGGATGGTCCTGTACCGCATGTGAAGCCACTGGGGAGTCTTTTACGATATGCGGGGGGTGGGTGGCTTTCGGCGAGCCATAAATGAAATGGTATATCGTGGGTCTACCAGGACCACCTTGGACCCTCTTGAAAAAGGTCCTCTTGAGCGGGAAGTGTAATGGAATATCGTGGGTCTACCAGGACCACCTTGGACCCTCCTGGGAGCGTCTTAAGGCATCTCGGGAGAGTCTTGGAGGCCTTTCGGGATCTCGTGTGACCGTCCGTCATGGGGCCTGTGGGGCGCCCAGGACGCTGGACATTGTTATCACTGTCGAAGTTCCAACGGTCTTGAAGCCCTCTTGGGGCTCTCTTGGGGTCCTCTTGGGAGCATCCAGGGCCGTTTTGGGCCCCAACCGGGCCCGTCTTGGGGCTGGCTTGGGGCTCTCGTGCGGCCATCTTTAAGCCGCTAAGTCCGTACGGGAACCACGGGAACCGCCGAAAACAATAATCATTGATGGTCCATTTGCTTTGAATTGTGTTGGCCTTGGCGGCGTCTCGGAGCATTTCTGCTGAATGCGGGACGATCGCGCTGATTTATCGACGCCGCGGCCTGGCCGCTTTGCGCGGTCAGTCGCAGCAGCGTCGATCAAGAAGACATCAGCAGGCTCCTAAGTAGGATATCGGTCTGATGCTGACGTATAATTGCCATGAGGGATTGGGAGCAGGAGGAGAAGGAGCAGGAGGACAGGACAATACATTCGCATAGCGGGGTCGACG